AATGCGGTGTGTCTTTAGGCAAGTCACCTGGGCTCTCTGTGCCTCAGTCGCCCATCTGTGAGATGAGACTAATAATTGTTTCTGCCTGTTCGGAGTGTTTTGAGGCGTTAGTGTGTGAAATCTGTGCCTGGCACTTAATGAGTAATCCAGGCCATCATCTGTCCTGTTTTCCCAGAATCTTGGGGAGAGGTGATTGTGGGGTCTTTCTCAGAGCAGATTAGGACTTGAAGCAGCAAGGGCTCTCCCGTCTCTCAGTTTTGACATCTTTTTCTGAACCCCCTTTTCCCAGTTTACAAGTGGGGAAACTGAGGCCAGAGGAGTGAAAACAGATGTGTCCGGCCCCAGCTTCCAAGTGTGACTGTGAGCAGTGGGGCACGCGCCACATACAGCTAGGTTTTCCCTGAGACTTTTTATACTTCCTGTGCGGCGCGGGCAGATCCGGAAGGAACCGCTTTTCTTCCTGTCCTGGGAGGGTTCCACCGCTAGGTGGCGCCAACGGGCGGCTCTGAGGGACGGGGCGGGCTGGGGGCGGGGACTCGGGTCCGACGGAGTGGGGTGTGGGGGACCGACTCAGAATTCGGGAGCTCGGGTTATGGTATTTTGTCAATTCCTAGCTTAATGACATTGTGGCCAGACAATATACTCTGTATATTAACATTTTGAAATGTGTTGAGACTTGCTTCATAGCTCAGTATGTGGTCAATATTTGTAAATGATGTGCAGTCTTTTGTTGAGGGATATATATATATATATATATATATATATATGTATATGTATATATATATATATATATATACACACACCCATTCATGGATAGACTTTTAAACCCACTTTTATCCATTAATTGTAAGTAATACAAATATTCCCAAAAAAGGAACAGACACTTAATGGCGTCCTACATTTCAAGTGCTTTAATACAACAAATTTATCTAGTCATGAACCTGTAAGCAAGGTAGTCAGAATCCCACAGCCCAGTCCCAGTGGAAGGCAGGTCTCCCCATCCTCTGCCGGGGTCCAGCCATGGCAGGATCCAGGGGGTACCCTCAGGATGAATGGCTTTGGCGAGAGAGTGAGAAGACACGTGAGACCAGCCTTGATAGGGCCAAGTTTGTGAGGGCGAGAGAGAGAGAGAGAAAGAGAGAGAGAGAGAGAGAGAGAGAGAGAGAAATTGAGTGACTAGACAGGGGGTGCAGCAGAGTCTGGCAGAGTCTGGCAATCCTTTATTTTTTACCATAGCTTTTCTACCCTAAATTAGTACATTTCTAAGGGGAAGATAGTTTAACATTACATCAGCTTGTCCTTCACGAAACCAGGGTGTTTTCTGCATACTTCTTTGTTTATGAGGGTCTTGTACATTATCTTCTGGCCTTGGGGCCTATTAACATTTTATGGAGGTCAGGTGAATGTAAACCTATTTTCTGTTTCTCTGGTGACCTTAACTGAAAGGTAGCCGTCTCATAGGGCAACAGTACAGAGTAGAAGTATAACCTTGTTAACACAAAAATTAATCCTTCTGCAGAAGTTGTCAGTTGCGTTTATCTAAGAAGTTTACCCCACACTGACTCTGCGACTTTGGTGAGGCAGCCCCTGCCTAGCACTCCTGGCTGACAATTAACAACCATCTCATTGGTACCACACTAGGGCTAAGCTTTTATTTTTCTAGATCTATAACTATATTAACAATGGTTTCTATAACACAACCTTAGCACATTAAGAGCAAAAACACAGCAAGCAAAATACAGCAAGCAAGCGTTAACCCAATAAGCACTTTTAGAATTATTTTTCTTATGTTTTCTTAATAGGACTTCCTCACTCCCTGAAGGGCTCTATGTCTGTTAGGGCCTTTATGTGATCAGGTTCTTTATGCTGTTTTATGATTAGGGTATTATAAGCAATCATGCATATTAGTACCAAGGCATAAATGTATTTGCCAAACAAACTAAAATACCAGCAAAGGAGTTTAAATTAAAACACTCCGTTCACTCTGGATAATCTCATAAAATACCACCCCCCAGGAAACTTATTGATTAAAGTTCTAAGTTGATTCTTATTTGGAAAGAGATCTGGGAAGGCCTTCTGCCTGTGTCACAGAAATTAGGGAGTAGTCTATTGAAGCAAGCATCAGAAAGACAGATATCCTCTTTAAGGTGAGCGCCGGGGGCAGCTTTTTGGAATCCCTGAAAACCTGATCTGCCTTGCCCGTCAGGTTTTCTCCCTCATGACCTTGTCATGGGTGGGATCTCATGTGCCGGCTCCTGGCAATCCTCCAGATGGCATCTTGAAGGGGGTTGAGCAGAAACAACATGGACAGGTCAAATCTGAGATAACTTCAAGCAGAGAAGCTCAGGGGACCCAAACAGGAGGGCCTGCTCCAGGTAGAGGCCCCATGGCATCACACGAATGGGGCAGGGGGCCAGAACTCTGCCTCCCTTCCCGGGCTTGAATACAAGTATTTACTCGTGTTAAAAGAAAAAAAAGACAAAACTGAAACCCCATTTTACAAAAAGGGGACTGAGAGACAACAGTGACAAATAAGCAACTGAAGCGCTGAAGGGGAAAACAAGGCTTCTGTTCTATACACACTTGACCTGGGTGGGACGTGGGGTGCAAGACGGTCTTGGAGGGGGCGAGGGGGCTGCCTTACTGAATGAGGTCTTGAGGTATAGTTTTGATAAATGCATGCACCCAGGTAACTCTCAATCCCATCAAATTATAAAACATTGCAGTCTACTGTATAGCGCAGGAAACTCTACTCAGTACGGTGTAATGATGTATATGGGAAAAGAATCTAAAAGATAGTGGATATGTGTATCCATACAGAAGGCAACAGGGGATGAGATGGCTGGATGGCATCACCGATTCAATGGATACGAACTTGGGCAAACTCCAGGAGATAGTGAAGGACAGGGAAGCCTCAGGTGCTGCGGCCCATGGGGTCACAAAGAGTCAGACTTAGCAACTGAACAACAACGAGCCTTTCTATTCTAGAATCTGAAGGCCTGATAGTCTAGAGATTTTGAAGGTCTATGTTTCTAGAATGACTGAGACCCTAGGATTCTGGAATAACTAAGAGCCTGTGGTCCTGGAATGTCTTAACGGCTGGCCCACCACGGAAGCCCCGACTCAGCCCTCTGATTCTGAGGGGCACTGATACTGTTGTATATGTCAATGCCTCATCTTTTTATTACAGCAGCATTTGGCACTGAGTGAATAGTTCACAGTTTGCCCATTTAGTCCTTCACGGACATCTGGGTTGTTTCCAATTTGGCTGCTATGAATAAAGCTCCTGCGAACATTCGTGGGAGGTTTCTTTTTTTTTTCCCCATTACTCTCACATGAATACCTAAGAGTGGACTTGCTGGTCCTGGGGTAGACAATGTATGTTTATCTTCTAAGAAACTGCCAAATTGTCTTCCAAGGCAGTTGTACCATTTTATACTCCCCTGCCCCAAGAAATACGCAAGAATTACAGCTGCTCTACATACCAACCAATACACCATGCTGTCCTTCTTTTTAGTCTTAGCCATTCTAGTAGATATGTACATTTTAAAAAGGTTGAATATTCTTCAGATACTGGGTGCAGTGTTCTATATATGATGACTAAATAAAGTTTGTTAATCACGTTGTTCAAATCACATATGTCCTTATCCACTTTTATCTTGTTTGTTCTATTATTAAGAGGCTCCTTAAAATCCTCTTTATGTTTTTTAAAATCTATTTTTTTTTTTTTTTTAACTTTTGGTCGCACTGAGTGGCTTGTGGGATCTTAGTTCCTCGACCAAGGATTGAACTTGCATCTGAGCCATCAGCAGTGAAAGCAGAGTCCTAGCCACTGGACCAGCAGGGAATTCCCCAAATCCTCTATCATGAGTAGGGATTTGTATCTCTTCGTTATCTCATCATTTACTTTATATATTTGAGGATACTGAAGAGATACAGAAAAACTTGAATATCTCCTTAAGAATAGGTTCACAATATATTTATGAAGATATTCCTGGATATAAATTCTTATCAGTATATTCTATTTAGTTGTTGGTGGTTAGTCTCTAAGACGTGTCCGACTCTACCACCCCATGGACTGTAACTGGACTGCCACCGGCTCCTCTGTCCATGGGAGTCTCCAGGCAAGAACACTAAATGAGTTGCCATTTCCTTCTCCAGATCTTCCAGACGCAGGGACTGAACCTGCATCTCCCCCATTGTCAGGCAGCTTCTTTACCACTGAGCCACCAGGGAAGCCCCATTGTATTTAGTATAACAATTCCTTCCATTCTTGGGCCTTCAGTCTTCTCTTTCTCAGTCCTAACTTGCCCCTCTCTCCATCCTCAGACTTCCCTACCCCTGCCCCCCAGATTCTTGACACCAGTCTCCAGCTATAGCAGGTGAGTCCTGAGGCAACCACAGGTGAAAAATTCTTAAAATGCATTGAAGAAGACCAAACCAAAATAAGCCAACTAAAGTTGATTAAACAAAATGAGGAAATCCCATTAATTTGCCATTTGCTGGTTCGACTTTTCAGAAACTGGTCAACATCCACAGAATCAGTTTCTCTTAACCTCCTCCCAGGTATGTCTTCTTCCGTGGGGATCCTGTGACTCTCCTGGTCAAGGGTCCCATTTCCCAGATGAAAAAACTGAGGCAAAAGGAAGGCAGACTATTTGCTGGAATCCCTTGGATGGGAAAGGCAGCAAGGAGGACAGTTCGAACAGAGCTGGTGCTCTCTTAGACTTTATTTCAGGGCTTAAGGGAAGAGACAAAAACAGTGAAAAATCAACTTTCTCTACCAATGGTAAGGCGGTCTCAACATCGTGCCGCTAGGGGGCACCATGTGCAAGAAAATATTCTTGGTGGGACAGGACTCCTGGGGTTGAGGGGGGGGCGTGGGGGTGGGGGTCTAGACTCCTGGATCTGAGGGTGGAAGGCACTGGGAACCCAGATTCCTGAATTCCTTCAGCAGCTTATATTTTGGGGTTCAATTTCATGAGTCCCAGTCGCAGGAGTTAACTGGCCTGGATGGTTTTCTGTATCCAGTCCGCGAACTTGCAGAGGTTGGTGTAGACGCTTGGCACGTAAGGTTGGCCACACTGGGCTTGTCCAAAGGATACAAGGCCCTGCAGGGACCCGTTGCAGACCAGGGGGCCCCCGGAGTCACCCTGTTGTGGAGAGACAGAGAATAAAGAGTCCGAAACACAGAGAGGTGGGGACGCCCCTGACGGTCCAGTGGCTCCGAATCCCTTTTCCAAGGCAGGCATCACAAATTCGACTCCTAGTCGGGGAACTGAGATCCCACGTGCGGTGGGGCAGCTAACTAGAGTGGGGCAACCGACTAACGTGCCACAGCTAGCGAGACGCCTGAGCGCCACAAGCAGAGAAGCCAGCGTGTTGCAACGAAGATCCCGCGTGATGCGACTAAGACCCGAGTCAGGCCAACAGACAGATGGACAAATAAATGAATATTAAAAACAAACAAAACACAGAGAGGTGGAGATAGACGTGAGATCAGAAAGGAACCAAACGGAGAGAGGCAAAGACACACGAGAGAGGACAAAATATAGCAACATATTCCTTAAAGGTTCCACTCCAGAGCCCCAATCACACCTAATTCGGCTCCCTACGTCCTAACAGCTGGCTGATTCTCTTGGGTTTGCTGCTGTTACATCTCTGTGTCTCTCCTTCTTTTTCTCCCACTATAGCTTACTTCTCTGTCTCAGTGACTCTCAGAGTCTCTATGCATTTCTGTACCTCCTGTATGTTGATTTTTTATCCTATTTCACTTTACATTTCATCTCTATGTGTCACTGTATCTGTTTCTGTCTGGGTTTGCATGTGTGTATGTGTTTCTGCCTTACTGCATCTGTCTTTATTTCTGTTTCTCACTTTCTTGCTTCTCTTTATTCCCGCGTCTATTTCTCTTTCAGTTTCTCTTCCATATCTCTTTTCTCACCACGGGGTCCTTGCCCCCTCCCTTCTCCATCTCTCCTTGGATCTTCTCCCCTCTTCCCTTCCCCCGTCTCTCACATGGCAGGAGTCCTTCTGGTCCTGGCCTCCACCAGCGCAGAACATGCTGGGGTGGTACACGTGGGCATAGAGTTCACTGCAGATCTTCTCCGACACCACTGAGATATTCACGCATTGGAGCACTTTGGGCAGTCTTCCTGGGACGCAGAGCATCGGATCAGCCTCTACTGGCTGGGCAGAGAACCCCTTGGAGAGACCACACACACCCACCCTCCCGAGCTCACCATTCACCAGCCGACCCCAGCCGGAAACCAGGCAGGAATCCCCGGCGGCCGGGCACTGGGAGGCTATGCTGATGTCCTGGATGGTATCAGACGGGGGCACTGATTCTTCTAACTTGATGAGCATGAGGTCGTTGGCAAAAGATGGTTTGTTGTACTCTGGGTGCTGGATGGAGAGGTGGGCTTCTATCATCTGACTGCCTGGTTCTTGGTCGGCCTCAAGACTGTGCAGGCCCAGCCCGATGGTATAGGACCTGAGGGCCACGGGGTCGAGGGTGCGGGGATAGCGTGGGGACAGGTTAGTTCTGTGGCAGCCACGCCATTATCTCCATTCTTGTCTTCAACCATAACCCCATCTCCAGTCCCCTGCCCCACCCCCATCTTCCTTGCTAAGCTCTGCACTACCCAGTCATGATTTCAAATCCTAATGAACAAGTTATAATCCAGGGACAAGAACTTGCCTTAATTTACTAGATACTCAGCAGTGAAACTGAGATTTCAACCCAGGACTCTCTGAGTCTTTCCAAAGCAAGAGCTCTCGCCTCCCTCGCAGAGCCTTCCTTGAGAGCGGCTTTCACTTTTAGTACCCGGAGACTGAACCTATGAAGCCCCTCTCCTCAGCTAACAGTGCATCCAGACCCTCTCTAGAACCCAAACGCCGTCCTCGTCCCTCCTCCCCGCCCCACCCCTGGCCCCCCCGCCCTGCACTCACTTCTGGAAACAATGTGCGGCTGACAGCACCCACTGCGGATGCACCAGGACGCCCCCGCAGAAGAATTCATTTTCCAAGAACAGGGCCGCCTGCCAGGGCTGCGAGTGCGGGCGGCAGTCCTCGCCGTTTATGATGCGGCTGCTGCCGCCCCAGGCGAGGGATCCTGAGGGCGGAGGCAGGGCTGGGGGAACCCGGCTCTGAGCCGATTCTGGGCTTCTGGGGGCGGGGCTCGGCGTGGGGGCGTGGTCAGGACTGAGCAAAAGGCCCAGAATGGAGGACACTTACTCCTGGGGGGCGTGGCCATGGCTCTTGGGGGCGTGGCTGCATTTGATGGGCGTGGTCGGGGCTTCTGCGGCGGTGAGGGGCCGTGGCTCAGGGTGGAAGCGGGACAAGCGGGAGTGGGGTTGGGGGCGGGGCTCTCGGTGCATGGGGGCGTGGCCAGAGGTGGGAGACGGACAGGAGGCGGGACTAGGCCTCTTGGGGGCGGAGTCACAGTGCACTGCGTTGCGTGGAGGTCAGCTGGGACTAAACCTCTCGGTGGGCGGCTGTGATCAGAACCTCAGGGATGGAGTCAGGGATCCTGCGGGCAGGGAGAGTGCTAGGGGCGGAGTCAAGGAGGAGTGAGGAGGCGGGGGCGGGGCCACAGTGCGGGGGCCTTAATGCCACGGATCAGGTTCTTTGGGGTGGGTTCGGGTTCAAGGGTCACTTGTCGGGGGAGAGTTTCAGCTTCGAGTTCTTCACAGCCTTCTTCCAGACCCACACTCCATCTCTCTCTCTCACACACACACACACACAAGCACCACGGTAGGCTTGTGCACTGCTGGGGCCTCAGTCTCCCAGCACAAGCAGACCCCTCCACACAAGGTGGCAGAGGCAAGGGCGACAGAAGAAGACGCTCAGGGAGGCAGTGCCAGTATCTGTGGCCCTGGCGTCTCGCCCAGCTTGGCTCAGTCCCGTCCCCCCAGGGCAACAGAAAGCCGGCTCACGCAGCAACCCCATCACACCGTCCTGATGTGGGTCCCTGGGCCTCTGAGGCCTGGAGACCCACGCAGCAGGTGCAGATTGCCCTCAATGGGTGCCTCTCCTAGAAGCATAATCTCCCTTTCAGGGGTACCCCAGGCAAGGACTGTTGGCTCAGACGGTAAAGAATCTGCCTGCAGTGCAGCAGATCCGGGTTCCATCCCTGGTTCCAGAAGACCCCCTGGAGAAGGCAATGGATACCCACTCCAGTATCCTTGACTGGAGAATCCCATGGACAGAGCAAAGAACAGGATACAACTGAAGCGACTAATACTTTCCGGCTCCACAGGTCCTTGCAGCTTCATCACTCGGGTCCTCTCAACATTGCCACCGCGCAGGGTATCCAGACGCACAGACTGTCAGAGCCATTCCCCCAATCATGCACCGACTCTCACGGGAACGACTGTACACGGAGGCGTGCAAAGCCACACACACACGCTAGCACACAGGTGGCACCCATGCAGACACCCTGTGATACAAGGAATCACACGTGTGCATCCGGAAAGCAACCATCACACTGTACTGTCATCCACGCAGCTTCAATCAGGTCCTGGAGGACCCTGAGTCGTGCCTGCCCAGTAACAAGCCTCAGACACAATCTCACACACACACACACCTCACTCAGATACCTGTGACACCGAGGAGGAGATGCCCCAGGAACCAGCCCCAGGGCTTTCCTGCTGTGGTCATCCTTCAGCACCTGTATGAGGGTCAGTCTCTAGGGAACCAAGTCTTTCCATCAGTCTCTCTCTCCACTCCTGCCCCCTCCCCCAGGATATTATCGGACAGACAAGGATCTATACCACCCCGTCTCCGACACACACACACATCGCAGTGTCTGAGCTCATGGCCCAGAGACCCACAGCCTGGAGAGACTGAGAGCCTGAGAGAGAAGTGGAAAGAGAGAGAGAGAAGTGGGTGGAGAGGAAGAGATGGAGAAAGTGTCTCTCCATCTATAGACTGGGAGACGTAGGAGGATGGAGACAGGGCCCTCAAGGATGCAGAGAAGAGAGGATATCAGAGACGGGCTGAGAGTCAGAGTCCGGGAAAGAGAGATTCAGGGAAATAGACCAGGGGAGACACAGGAGGACTGGAGAGACCCTTCTAAGTAGAGACCGATTTGGAGGAAACAGACCTGAAGACCCAAGGTCCGGAGGCTGAGAACCGCAGGGACACGGGGCTGTAGGGAGAGTAGATCATGAAGACTGCTCTTAAGGGAGTGGTGGGTGGGACGCTCACCTAGTTGCCTCTGGGCTCCGGGATCCTACACTTGGCTGGGCTTCCGCCTGCTGCCTCCAGCAGGGGCCCCTTGGGGAGCTTATAAGCATCCCCAGCTGGGCTGGCCTGCCCCCTAGGGACACATTCCTGGGGCGAGGTGCTGCCAGCTTGCAGCTCAGAGCTCTCTGGCTGCCTGGTGCCAGGCTGAGATCAGTGAGCTAGAGGGGTCGGGAGATTTCGGCCTCACTGACCCCTTCTTGCTTGGTTGCCTGTCAGCTTTCCCGTCTCTCTCTCCAGTTCTCCCCCCGCCCCCCGCTCTCTCACACACGTACACACACTCTCTGTTTCTTTTTCTCTTGTTCTCCCTCTCATTAAATCTCTCTCATCCTCTCTCCTTCTCCCTGCTGTGTTTTCCCAGCTGAACCTCCCCGATTCAAACCCCCAACAGCACATTCTACCTTTGGAACCTTGCACACGTGACTGCACCCCTGTGAGCCTCTGTTTTCCCATCCATAAAATCAGGGTGATCATTGTTCCTTCATCTCAAAATCTTCCAAAAAACTTTGTGGGGGAAAATGCCTGGACACCGAGCCAGGCGCACCGTGGGCACCCAGACAGTGGGGGGTAGGATGAAGCTTTTGCTAGTCAAAGAGCAACTGCGCCCCTCCGAGGCTCTGAGCTGCGGGAAGGGACATGCACATTCCAGTGCTTCAGGGGCACACGTCCCAGCAGGGGAGACCGACCAACAGAAACAAATGCATGGACAAGCAAATATCTGGTAGTCATGTGTGTGCAAAGAACACGGCTGGTATTAGAGAGGGACTGGGACCAGGTCGGGTGACTGCAAATGAGGGGGTGTCAGGGTGTCTTAGAGGAGGGGACTTTTATGCTGAGAGGCAATGAACTTGGCAGGAAAGAGAGAAGTTGGGGGAATTCCCTCGTTGTCCAGTGGTTAGGACTCAGCCTTTACACTGCAATGGCCTGGGTTCAATCCCTGGGGGATTTGCATGCCAGGGGAAAGGGTTTGGGTTTATTTTCAATGCAATGGATTTTTTTTAAGGTTTTTTTTTTTTTTTTTTTTTTTTGCTGTGGACCATTTTTAAAGTCTTAACTGGATTTAGTACAATACTGCTTCAATTTTATGTTTCGGCTTTTATTTCATTTTTTTTTTTTTTGGCTGCAAAGCATGTAGGGTCTTAGCTCCCCAACCAGGGTCGAACTTGCACCCTCGGTATTAAAAAATGATGTCTTAACCCCTGGACCGCCAGGGAAATCCCTTGGTGCAGTGGATTTTTAAGCCTGAGATAACAGTAGTGTGATCTGATTTCTTTTTAAAAAGCATGCCTCATGGAGAATGATGGGAGTGGGGTGAGATGGAAGCGGTGAAACCAGTGAGGAGGCGGGGGGGCGGGGTGGCAACAGCCCCCCAGATGGGAGAGGCTGTGGCCCCTGGTCAAAGAGAAAGGGGAGGGGCGGGGCGTCAAATACCCGACGGGTGGACGGTGGGGAGGGAGGAGAAAGGAGGCGTGGGGCGTGTCTCCGCCTCAGTCTGCTGGCGGTCACATTTGTGGCGCCGTTTGTGTGGAGGTGCGAGGGGGTGTTGGGGGAGAAGGGCTGAGATGAGGGCGCCCATCTGGAGCCAAGCGGTTGGATGTGTGGGCCCCAGGGGGAGGACAGAGGTCGGGGTGGGTGAGGAGTCACCCGAGGAGACATGTGTTTAGAGCCATGGGGTTGGATGAGATCACTCAAGAAGCAGGCGTGGACTGCCCTGATGAGGGGTTGTAGGGACAGTTGAGGTGATGCTGAGGGATGACTGTGCCTCCCTCTGTCTCTCTTGGCCCCGTTTCCCTCTGCTTTCTCTGTCTCTGGCCCTTCCCTAGTGTCTGGTTCTTGGACCCTGTCTCCATCTACCTGCCTGCAGCGATCGGTCACCTGGGGGCACAGAGACCCCGGACCCCGCTCTGCTCCGGGGACCTGCAACTTTGATCATGAACATAGAGGAGGTCAGCAGGAGGGGTGTGGTGGGTGGTGGGTGGTGCAAGGTGGGCTCAGACCTCACAGCTGCCCAGACTTGACTTAGGTCTGGGCAGTGGGAGGAGGGGGGTTGCAGCCAGAGGGAGGGACAGGGCTGGGGCGGCTGGAATCAGGGAGAAGGTGGTGGATGCGGCATCCTGCCCTGCTCTGCAGCCTCACCTCTGTCCTGTCCTGCTTGAGGTTAGGCAGAGGTGACCCAGTTATTTGGGGATGAATCCAAGAGTGAGTGTGTCTGTGTTGGGGGCGGGGGTGGTTAGGTCATGTCATGGAGATGCCTCCAGCCTGGCAAGTGGGAAGGCTTTGGAACAGGGGCTCCATGGGTGAGAACCCAGGCTGGGGTGGGGGGTGGAGAGAGGCAGAGACCACGAGATAAAGAGATGGGCAAAGAGACTGGGACCAGAGGCAGAGAAATAAAACCCCAGAAGGACATAGGGAGAGACAAGAGAGAAAGATGGGCTTCCCTGGTGGCTCAGTGGGTAAAGAATTTGCCTGCAACGTGGGAGATCTAGGTTCGAGAATTTGCCTGCAACGTGAGAGATCTAGGTTCGATCCCTGGCGAGGGAAGATCCCCTGGGGAAGGGAACGGCTACCCACTCCAGTATTCTGGCCTGGAGAATTCCATGGGCTGTATAGTCCAGGGGATTGCAAAGAGTGGGACACGACTGAGTGACTTTCACTCATAGAGATGGAGGCAGAGACAGAGCTGGGGAGACGGAAAGGAACAGAAACACAGAGAGAGAACAGGGGGAACAGATGAGGACAGAGAGAGAGAGAGAGACAGAGACCAGGAGACAACAGGGGGAGAGACCTGAATGGAGGCAGAGATGGGCTGGGACACAGAGGGAGACAAGGAGAGAGAGACACAAAAGAGAAGGCGGAGAGGTGGGCAGAGAACACAGGCCAACAGCAAATGACACAGATGGAGATTGTTTAAGCACCCTGGAAGTCATTCAAATTTCTTTTTCACTTTTAAAAGTGTTTATTTATTCGGGTGCTCCAGGTCTTCCCTGGGGCCTGCGGAATCTTCACTGTGTCAGGCAAGCTCTGTCGTTATGGGTGGCGCACAGACTCTCTAGTTTGGAGCGAGGACTCAGTAGCTGTGGTGAGTGGGCTTAATTGCCCTGCGGCATGTGAAGATCTTAGTTTCCTGCCCAGGAACTGAAGCCACTTCCCCTGCATTGCAAGGCGGATTCTTCACCACTGGTCCGCCAGAGAAGTCTCCCAAGTCATTTTAAAAATTGAGAATGAAGATAAGTTGTAATTTTCTCCAACATGACCCAACCCTAGCCACCCCAATAAGTGTCACCCCATTCACAAGTCCCCATTGATTCTTTTCTTGGTTGCTTTAGTCCTTTGAGCAGCACCTCTAAAATGTCACTCAGACTGAACCAGGTCTCCCCAGCTTGACTCCCCCTCTCCTGGCCCAGTCCTCTCTCCCTGGACTCGCTGCTTCCACTCTTGTCCACCCCAGTCTATTTCCCAGAGGGATGTGCCTCCTGTAAACAGCTCCAGGAGCCTCCCCAGCCTCCCTTATCCTCTAGGCCCCCCTGTGGTCTGTTCCATGTGGCTTCAACACACTTCCCTTCACTCGCTCCCTTGACCACTCCCACTGCTCCTTTTGTCTTCTCTCAAATGTCGCTTCTTCCCAGTGGCCTTGCCTGACCCCCTTCCCAGTCTAATCCAAGGCCCCCTCTCTTCTGGGTTTTGCTTGTTCGTTTTCTTCTCCAAGCATCCCACACATGTCTCCAGAGCCCTTGGCACAATTTACACACGTGTTACTGTTTGTGTGTTTATTTTTCTAACATCTGCCGGTCTCATCAGTCTGGGAGTTTCGTGGGGACAGGGTTCTTGTCTGTTCTGTTCACCGTGGAAATTTCAGTGCTTCCCATGGAGCAGGCAGGCATTCACTATGTGTGTGTTGAACACATGGGTAGGGAGAGAGAAACACAGATCCTAAGAGAGACGTTCAGGGACAGACAGACAGAAGAAAGAGCAGGACACAAAGACAGATGGAAAGAACAAACAATAACAAACAGTAATAACAGCTTACACTTAATGATAGCTCTTTGCATTGGGACAGTAGTAGGGAACTTAATTAATTAATTAACACTGAATTAATTATAATTATGGCAAGAGCTTACTATGGGCCTATTTTAAGTGGCTTATATGTAATAACTTTATTCACCATCACACCATATGCTCTTATTAACTTTATACAAATGAGGAAAATGAAGCACAAAGAGGTTAAATAGTTTACCCAAGGTCGCAGAGCGCTTCCCAGGTGGCACTGGTGGTAAAGAACCTGCCTGCCAATGCAGGAGACGTAAGAGGCGCAGGTTCGATCCCTGGGTGGGGAAGATCCCCTGGAGAAGGAAATGGCAACCCACTCTGGTATTCTTGCCTGGAGAATCCCATGGACAGAGGAGCCTGGTGGGCTA